AAAAATTATAAGCAACAAAAGGCTACTTGCGCGGTTGGTCGTGCTGATGCAGTGAAGTGATGAGTGAAGAGGCAAAGGAATTTCCGGAAAGAGTAGGGTAGGAAGCTCCGCTTCTATTGGAAAAGATACATATACAATATTTCTTGTGCATATAACTCCGGCTACGCCATCCACAGTGTTTTTGCGCAGAACCAACATCAAAAGTTTATTAAAAAAAAAACTGCATAATTTATTAATTGACTAGTGCTCGGAAATTTAAAATCTTTATTTTAAATTAAAGTTGAATTCTTTCAATACACTTGTTATGTTGTTATGTTAAAGTTTTTAAACTCGGGTCACGCGTTTGGACACAAAAACCCAACATCATTGTACAAAAAACTTAACCATACCGTATTTCTTAAACTTCCATAAAGTTTATTAATGAGGAAAACAGCTTTTCCTGCAAATCATGTAAAGCCTAAAAACCGTGAAGCATCGGGAACGCAACTTCTATTCATAAAACTCACACATGTACATACACCTTCCAAGTCCGAGGGATCCGACGAATCTCGCAATTCCCTCCTTGCTTTAGCCAACTCTACTAATTTATTAGCTTCCGCATCATCTTCCTCATCACTAAACCATGTTTCAACTGTGTCCATTTTTTTAATTTTATAATAAAAGCAATTATTTTAAAAATGATGTAAATAAAACACTCAAGAAACAAATGTAAACAAACAAACAGCTGTTTACAATTCTGTCAACTATTCACAATAGTACAAATTTTTATCGACCAAGTTACACAATAGCAAAATAAAAGATGATCGACTCGATCGACAAATTTCTATTCTACTGCCAGTCGACACTCGCAATAGGGGCCTTAAAGATGATCGACTCGATCGACAAATTTCTATTCTACTGCCAGTCGACACTCGCAATAGGGACCTTTGTTTCTGAACTATATTTAGCGTGGTTGCCACGTGTTTAAACAATAAAATTCAACTTAATTCATCAGTTAATTAAAATGTGTATCGCAATGTTAGAGGAAGATTATTGAAGAATATCCTAGCGCGAAACTACTTTTGAAGAGGGATACCACCTGTTTAAAAAGTCGAATTTGATTAGGGTGAAAGGGTGTTAAAAAAACTTGAGTTTGAACTTTCACATTTTAGTTTTACCAAATATTTAAACACTATTTATTTTTGTATATCTTTATTGAAGTATTTGTATATGTAAATTCTGTAATTGAAGTATTGTACAAAGTATTGATAACATTAAATGAGATTTTTATAGATTTATTAACAAACTACCTAGTTGAAAGAAAATTATTTAAATATACATACAAACATACATAAATATCAGAAACGGCACAACTCTGGACGAATGATATTTAGCAAAATTTTAATTTAAAAAAAATTTCAATTAATCCCAAATTTCCGATAATTTTTACCAATAAAGAGTTGTAAATTTTAATGAAATAAATCTCAGTTGAAAGATTTTAAAATCTTTGCATTTTTCATAAAATTAAATTTACATAAACTAAAAAAAACTTACAAATAATTCATGTGTAATTTAAATATTTTATTATTATGCACTTCGCCGCTTTACAATTTGAAAATATTTTTTCAGGATGTGTACATGCCTACAAAATTTTATTTGAATGCTTATCTATACTATTTAATTCATTATAAATAAACTCTTAATCAGAAACAACTCTTAGGAGCTTATATTTTTTTTTGTTGTAGTTTTCGTATATATACTATTTTTTTTCTATATTCGTATACTAATTGTGTCTTTTTTTTTTGAGATTCAATGCATACAATCAACTGGCTTATGCTTATAAAAAGTACGAATTTTTTTTATACATTATTGCCTATCGAGGTCTTTGGAGAATTGAGATTCCTTAAAAGTAAATCTAAAATATTCGCAAATAACTTAAAAAATATTGCTTATCCTTAAAATATCGTATAACAATTGAAAAAAAACAACACTCAAAAATGTTATGTAAAAGAAATCCGCTCTTTGGTTTCTCGCTGATTCCGTTTTGCTAGCACCGCCCACTGCCCGCACATTTCTTCATTCATCCTTCACTTATGTATGTACACAATTACTCCTACATATTTATATACACCACCAGCTCCTCCCCACCACTCACTCCGTTTTCACCACCGTCTCGCGCTCATACTTCCGTTCGAATTCGTGCAATTCGAATAGACTTTGTTGGTGTTGTTGTTGCAGTTCATGCTGGTGTTGCAAATGCAATGCAATCGCTTGCGCATGCGCATGTTGTTGTTGCTGCTGTTGCTGTTGCAGCTCAAACATCACCTCATCCTCCTCCAGTGATGGACTGCGGCTAAGTGCCACATCTTGTTGCAACAATGCATGATGATGATGATGCTGGTGGTGGTGGTGGTGGTGTTGTTGTTGTTGTTGTTGATGCTGCTGCTGAAGCTGTTCAATTTTAATGGCTTCCTCATGCAGTGGCACCAATTCGCCGAAGCTGGAATGCGCTGGCGATACTGAACCAGCTGGACTATGCGCCTGTTGCTGCAGGTACTGTTGTTGTTGTTGTTGTTGTTGCTGTTGCTGTTGGTGGTGGTAATGCAACGAATTGCACATATTAGATAAATGCGTCTGCAGTTGGCCATGTTGAAACTGATGTTGGTGTGTTAATTGCTGAAAGATCTGTTGTTGTTGCTGTGGCGATAGATGGTGTCGCAGTTGCTGCTGCTGTTGCTGCTGGAGTTGTTGCTGTTGTTGGAGCTGTTGCGACGTCGTCGTCGGTGTGGTTGGTGTGCTCGGCGTTGATGGCATTGAGACTGATGCCGAGGGGGATGAGTGTGGTGGCATCAGATGCATAAGTTGCTGGGCCAATAATTGTTGTTGTTGCTGTTGCTGTTGCTGATGGCGCGGTGAGGATGATGCGTGTTGTTGTTGCTGCTGCTGCTGCTGCTGCTGCTGTGTCTGCATTTGCTGTTGGTGAGCCTGCAGCTGCTTCTGCATAAGCTTTAAAGTTTCATTGTTATTGGTGATATGATTGTTGTTATTGTTGTTGTTGCTATTATTATTGTTATTATTGACATATGCAACAGTGTTATTATTATTGTTATTGTTATTCAAATGCCCATTGTGAGTCGGTGATGTGGATGAGAACATTATTGGTGAGTGGATGTGTGTCATTGGTGGTGACATTTTCTGGTTGTATGATTGCTGCAGTTGTTGTTGTTGTTCTTGTTGTCGCAGTTTTTGCTCCTGCATGGCGGCCACTTCTTCCAACTGTTGTTGCTGCTGTGGCGTTAGCGGTGATGCGGGCAACAGTCCCAACAGCGGTGACTTCGTGTCCGTCGGCGAGGCGCTGCCGTCATTTGTTGTTGGTGACATTAGGGTTGTTTGCGCCAGCGCAGTGTTGTTGCTTTGTGGCTCTTGTTTCAATTGCAGCAATTGTGTGCTTGCCAATTGTTGTTGCAAATTAGTTGTTAAATGTTTTAGTTCTGATGATGATGTGTTGTTATTGTTATTGTTTTTGTGTTTAGTTTTAATTTTAAGTTGCAGTTAGTTGTTTGTGTTGATGAATATTACCACCGAAAGGAACACACAGATATAGTGAGAGAGCGAGTGTTAGAGCGATGAACGATGGACCATGAAGCGCGCGTGTGAAAGAGAAAGGAAAAAGCAAAGGAGACAAAACAATACAATTAATTTCGCATGCTTCAGGCAAATAAAATTATAAAACTAAAAAAAAAACTTGTAAAACCAATACATCGCACACTTACCATTATTTGCGTCAGCGGCGGGGTTGGAGTTCGCATTTTGTTTGCTGCTTTTGCTAGATTTTTCGCCTTTAGTACCCTTTGCTTTTCGCTTGCGTGTCTGAAAAAGAGGCGAAATTATGTTTTTGTTGTAATATTTAAATATATATATTTTTTTCTTATCAGTAAAAACTATGTATGTATGTATACATATGTAGTATGTAGATTAGACTGGGTCGCGAAAAAAATTTTTATCAGCCAAAATAAAGTTTGAAAATTTTGTAGGCACAAATCTACAAATCTTCACCAACGAACTAACTTTCAAATAAGGGAGTAGTTACAAAAAATTGTATACGTATTCCATTAGTTTTCCCTTCTGATACAGTTTCGGGCAGGCTGGCAAAGCATTTTTATATACCCGAGCGCACATAAATGATCAGAATGAAAAAAGAAATCGATTAAGCGATGACTGTCTGTCCGTCCGCCCGTCCGTCTGTGCACACCATAACTCGAGTAAAAATAGATATATATCTTAACGAAACTTGGTACGTGTACTTATTTTCAGTCTAGGATGGATGGTATTGAAAATGGGCCAAATCGGACAATAACCACGCCTACCACCTAAATATATAACGGTAGTTTTCAGAAATACGAAAACTGCGACATTTTAGTAACTACTGGAGATTATTCACTCAAAATTGCTATTTACAATAATTTTAAGACGAAAAATCAGAACATAATACATTTTTGAAAATGGTCGTAGCCACGCCCACTTATGATTACATGCGTATATCTTGGGAACCGCTCCACCCATTTCTTCCAAACTTAGCACAGTTATTGGACTTGACAAAGCATACCAAACGGCTGAAAAAGTTTTTAAAATCGGACAATAACCACGCCACAGAAGTCACATGAGAGGGAGTCGCCCTGTCTGAAACCCCGTTTTGTGGCGAACGGCTCGGATAAGTCTTTCCCATTTCTGACGGAGCTGGTGGTATTGCTCGACGTCATTTTGACGACTTGAGTCGTTAGTCCTGATCAAATAGATATCTTACAGTGAGAAAAATGTTCTTCAGATTTCTGGGCGACGAATCAGTCGAAGACCTGATCAGTTTAGGCACAGTTTCATTGAATCAGTAGTTATTTTTCGGTACAACATGATAAACATAAGTCTGGTTAAATCAAAAAAATTTCTTAAGTTAGGAAGGCGTGTATGAATGTATAAAACTTCAACTCAAACTTTGAGATAAAGATAAAACTTGACACTTTAGAGTAAAATTTAAACAAAAATTATAATTCAGAGAGTAAATGCACGAAAAAAAAATCAAATTCACTCCTCTGCTGATACTTGTGGCTACATGTTTAATATGCCTTGTGGGCACTGCTAAATATTGGGTCATATGTATGTATAAAAAGTCTCAGCGGATTTTTGGGTAAATAATAAAAAAAAGTTGTCTTTATTGAAACTCAATTTTAATCACGTATCTAGATTTTGGCCATAATTGTTTAAGACCTTTTTCCATTTTTCGGGTAGCTTCATAATCTCTTCGGTGTAAATAGAACTTCTTTGATTTATCGGCAAAAAACTTGGACAAGTGAATTTCAGCGGCACTTCGATCGGCCAAATGGAAGTCAGGTGTTGCACGGTGGAATCCAACAGTTATTTTCGAGTCATCAAAGATGAGTGTGGCTTAGCATTGTCGTGATGGAACTGATGAGTTAGAATTCGTTTGTGGATGGTCATCGATCTTTGATCATGATCGCTTGCGTTGCTTGTTTTCAACCCATTTTCGCCATGATGATTTGCTTCAAAAATGGCTCGATTTAATGTCGTTTGAGCAGCGTTTCACTGAGGAGCAATCAAATTTCTTTGCGTTATTTCATGTGGCACCCAAACATTGCGCTTTTTTTGATTCTATACTGTCATGTGCTTGCTGGTTGCTGCTAAATGTCTCCGCTATATCCTGGCAGCTTGCATGCCGTTCTTGCTCCACTATTTCCATTATTTTATCGACTTTTCCAGTGACTGGCCGACCAGAGGGAGGTGCTTCTTCGACATCAAAGAAACTTAAGAACCTGTAGGTTTTAGATTCTTAAGTTACGGCCTTACGGAAATTGAGAGCGGTGAGAGAATCATTCTTGCCAGATTTTCGTTTTTGCATTTCTCAAAAATAAATGAACGCAAACATATTTTTTTGCATGCATTTTTTTGATACGGCCTTTAGGCGGCAAACTGTAAAACAGTTGAAAAAGAAAACACAAAAACAAAATACTTCCGCTTCTGGCTTAAGTCGAACTGAGCTTTTAACTCACAGCATTCTTACCGTGCAATTCAGAAATTGTCGGCATGTTTTTGCAGCGCTTTCACCTTTTTTATAGCAAAAGCCATCACATACAGTGGCGGAAAAATTAATAGGGACGCAACATTTTAATAAGTTGTGGCCGTTTTTTATTTATTATTATTTTTTTTATAATATTGTAGCTCATTATCAAAAACCGTTTAAGTTGAAATTTCAAACTTTGTACACAAATTAGAAAATTCTGAGATTGTGGTGATCTCCGAAATAGTTGCTATAACTTCTACTGCTTAGACTTTGCTGCTTTTTCAATTTTTCCTAATAAACAATCGTGGTACAAAGCTCAATAAAAATATTAAAAGTATTGAAATATGTATCACAATAGGGTTGTCAGCCAAAATAAATTTAAAAACGTTTCAGTTGGAAAATATGTATTTGTAAGAGGGTTGCCACGTGGTTTGAAAAGTCTAATTTAATCCATGTATGCAGAGTATTTAGAAATCCTTATTTTGAACAATTTAAAATATTTTTAAGGTGTTTGGAGAGGGTTGCCAAATGTTTAAAAAGTTAAATTGATTTCCATATTTCAAATATCAATCGAAATGGTTTTAAAAATGCTTCATTTCAAAACTGCCTGTGAGAGGGTTTCCACTTGTTTAAAAAATCTATTTCAACTTGAGGTTTAGGAAAGTTGTAGTCTTAAAATATTTTGAAGAGGGTTGCCAACTGGTTTTGAAAAGGCGTGATTCTTAAATGAAATACAGAAGAGTTGCCACCTTATAAAAAGTCAAATCCTACTTGATTTACAAAAAAAAAATGAGTTTCTGCGCGATGACCTTCAATTTGCCTAATTTCATACTAAAGCTGTCAGAAATGGCCTTAAAAATATTTTACTATTAGTTTTTTCCCATATATGTAATACTTCTATATTGGTAGTAAGCTAACATCTCAATGTGTAAGCATTCCGAAATCAAAACGAGACAGTCTAGTACTGTTTTTGTCAATGTATTGTGTACTTGAGTGCCGTTTTTGTAAATGTGTCGTGTACATGTTTATTTATAAACGTATGTGTTCCCTTTCTTTCGTACGTGTTTATTGATATATCTGTACTGTAGTGTTTTCGGACGGTACTAGCTCTTACTGCCAATATAGGAGTATTACATATATGGTTTTTCCTTAAAAATTGTGGGCGTGACAAATGCAGGTAAAATTTTCCACTTGGGTCAGCGAAATTCATTTAAAGTTCGATTCTTCTAGCTCCTATAACAAGTGGAACTATCATCAATCAAGCTCCGTATGTGTTTTTGCCATTACATTAACATTAAATAAACGTGAATAAACTTGCCAAAACTTCTTAATATAGAGCGTCCCTATTTATTTGCCAACCACTATATAATGTATGTATGTATGTATGTTTCTTTATTTTCAAGTCAATATAACTTTTTGCAAAATTTTGCCTGAAATGTCACCTTTCAAACGCGCGTCAGCTTGACGCAAATGGATTAGTGTTGCCAGATGTATGGGCATCAACAGCACATAGTGACAAAAATCCAGCAGAGACTTTTCTTATGCCCATATATTTGAAAATTGTTTGTGATAAATTAAGCCTTAAGACTTACCTGCTTAAATAGTACTTTGTTTATTCAAATTAAGAAATTTAAATTAAAAATAAGTTGGCGGTTACTAAATTTCGCTAATGTTCTTTTCCTTTCATATTTTTATACTAAACAGATTACAAAGTCAGTTGTCAACCTACCTGTATGGTGTCCTTCTTCATGGTTAATGGACGTTTCACGCTATGCAATTTGAAGTAAAGTCCGCAGGCATTGCAGACGGGCTCACCGCTGGGATTTCGACGCCACAGCGAAGTGTGTGTTGTAAGGCAATTTGAGCAGGACAAACCGACACGACGGGAGGCACTCTAAATTGTAAAAAAGTAATTAGTATATAGACTCATAGTATTTATTACAAAAAAAAAAACTAATAGATTTTCATTGCAAATATTAAACATTAGCAAAATAATTTAAACACAAAAAAACGGTTAAATGTATCTTTAATTTTAACTTTAAATTTCATTGAAATGTCTAATTTAAAAATGTTTGTAGGTATATCTGCATGTATGTATGTATGTAAAAGTATGTATTGTTTTGTGTCACCTACCATACGGCGCGAACTTGAACGACTAACATGCTCCTCGGCAGACGCTGTTGCCGTCCGACTCGGCACACTAAACGGATAGCTCTTATAGAAATCCCCGCTTGACTCAGCGGCCACTGCAATAATTATGAATTATTTATGAGAAATGTTTTTTAAGCAATCAAGAAAAAAAAATAGTTTTGCTTATTTTTATTTACAAATTTTATTTTTTTTATAAAAGTTTCGGTTTTTCGCTTTGCGACGAAAACTACGTTGTGCATCAATGTTAATAAAACTAGAAAAAGAATTAAATTCAATTAACCAATAATCCAAATTAAATACGACGAATAGTGCGTGGAAAGGCAAACCTAAATTAGTAATTAATTTTCAAGTATTTACTTAAGTAAAGCGTGCATTTTTTTCTTTTAACGTTCATAAAAAATAAAATAGTTAAGTGCGTAATTACAAATTATGATTTGAACAACATTTTTATTTCCTTGTTTTTTTTTTTTCTTTTCTTTTCATTTAATCGAAACGGATTTCATCAACAAAGGAAGCGAGAACGTTCACGCAACTACAACTACATATGTATATGTGTGTATGTATGCATGTATGTACAACGGCAAACGATGGTGATGGCGAATGGCGGCACAGGCAAAAGCGAAGGCGGATTTCTATAAGATTTCTTTTTTTAATAATAAATATTTTATTTTTTTTTACAAGAAGTTTAAGCTGCTTGCAAGTGCGGAAAGTAAGCATGTATGTAAGTAAGTATTTGTATTAGATTTTAAATTTGTTGCACAATTTCAGTTTTTTGTGTACTGTTTAAGTGTTTCTTTTTTTACTTTTTGCAATTTTATCAGTTTCTTTTTCGCATTGCTTATGTTTTGCTTGTTTAATATGTGTAATGAATAAGGAAAAGTGTAAAATATGTGAATTAAATTCACTTTAATTTTGGTTTTTTATATTAATTGAAATTTTTTTTTATATTTATTTTACCAATCTTCTAGGCTGTTTTATTAAGGGACGATTCATGCCGTTCGTTTTATTATAAAGACCGCACGCATTGCACAAATAATGTCCGGTATTATCACGGCGCCACAATGGAGTTGAAACCGCACCACAATTGACACATTCTCGCCCATCGGTGATAAAATCGGCATCGTAAAATGCTTCAATAAAGTCATATGTAAATTTAAAATATTTAAAAATTAGTTGCATGCCATTTATATTTATATAATGTTTTATAGCATTTTCAAATATGTATTTATGTATGTATATTCTGTACGTATACATACGTATGTATGTATTAATGTATGTTTTTATGTGTAAAATGCTTGTTGAGATAAAATAATACGTAGTTCTTTTATAAAGAAAAGTTTTTCTAATAAATTTCACAAAAGTAAAAGTGAAATAAAATCAATTTAATTATAAATAAATTAAGATAATGTTTTTGTTTAAGTAAATATTTGCTTATATTTAAAAAAAAATTAAATTCATAACGAATGAATTTTAGATGTTACAAATACTTTTCCAGTATCCCTAAATGCACAATTTCGATTTTCAAATTCAATTGAAATTGTAACTGTTTACACTAACGATTATCAAAACAATTGGGGAGCAAAAAACGATTCCAAATTTTTCGGTGATATTTGGCAGACTGCAGTTTGTTGAAAAATGGTCAAGCTGAGACTAAAAAATAAAATCTTGTGGATTTTGGAGCGTTTAAAATTATAATTTTTAAATTTCTTCGCTAAAAATTTTTAGGAGCTACGGACCTCTTGCATTCCTAACAGATAGCGCGAAAAAAAAATTTGAAAATTTTCCAGTCAAATTTTGAAAGTGGTCTACGGGGAAAAAAAGGTTGGGAACCTCTGCTTTACACGATTGATCACGCTACCGCTTATGATTTTGCTTAATCCTCTTAACCTGTTTTGCAGGTTACAAAAAAACAAGCCAAGCTTCTTTCTATAAAAGCTGTTTCTTTTGGTTTTTAACCAGTTTTCTATTTGATTAAAAAAGAAAATTTTCTTATCAGTTCTAAATTCTTCTTGCTTAAAAATCATCCACACTAAGCAAATTTTAAAGTTGCATTCTTGAAACTAAAACCACATTTTCTCAATTTTGCCCAGTTTTACCTGAAATTTAAAATTGCGTAATTTCGATCTCGTGGAAACACACTGTTACTCCAAATTGTAAATTTAAAAAAAGTTGTTTTAAAATATTTGTTGCCAAATATGTATATCTTATTGTAATTATGAATATTTACTCAGAAAACTTACTTAAAAAGTGCTCCGGAAATGTTAGGCGTAAAAAGTATGTCATTAATTAGTGTTAAACTTAAAATTGTAATACTGTGTTAATAGTAATATTGTAAAAAAATCATCTCCTAAAATAGGTTCTATAAGAAAGTAAATAGTATATTGCAAAATTTTTTAATGGTTTATTACATTTCAATACCAGAGTACAAATGCATGTTTTTATTGGGTTGGGGCATTTTCAAATGGAAACGGCCAAGTTATCTTTATGAATCATGGAATTTCCTTTAAAATGGCATTCAATCGTTAGTGCATATTTTGCAGTAAAGTGTAAAAGTAGAAGTAAAAGTGTATGGTTTTACATATTTATTGTGCATTTCTTACAATATATATTCATAAGGTTTTGGACATTTCTGATTTACAACCGTTTAAATTTAGTGCGAAATCCCTTGGGAAAAATTGCCTATGTATAATTTTTTCACAAATATTAATTTGAATATCTTTTCGAATAGCCAAGAGGTCATTAACGCACTCTCTTCCACCCTTTTAGATCTCACCTAGTGGAGGACTGTAGTAGAGAGCTGTCCTATATCTCTGGTCAATACGAAATTATCTACCTTAATATGGGCCACGAAACATAAGAACATTTAGGGAAACGAGGCAGCGGATGAACTAGCAAGGTGGAACCGTACAGTATAAAACAGGATTAACCGGCAGTTCTGGGTGTTCCACTACGACCCACTTAAAATCAAAGCCCCCTTAGAAATGAGCAAAGAAGATACCTACAAACTTACTGCGGTGTGTACAGGGTACGGGCCCGTTGGGGTACGTGCCGAAAGGATTGGATTGCACTTCAACAGGTTCTGCCACAGTTGCGATAACACTGGCTCAAAAGAGACAGTCGAACGCTTCCTGTGCTATCGTCCAGCCCTCGCAAGGATTTGGCTTAAGACACTCGGCAAGCCATTCCTACAGAATGTTTTAGAGTGCAGCTGCCTCTCCCTGTATGGCGTACAGAAATTCGTTACCAGGGTGACACTCCCCTTAAACCAACCAAACAAGATTGTAATTGGATAATACAAAAAGTTTTGTGGTTTACTTGCGCAAAAGTGAAGGTCAACTACTATCGTTTGTTTATAAATTGTAAGTTGTACTATAAGAATACATAGTGGATTGCAAAATGAATTTATAAAACATTTAATGATTTAATAATATACATAGCTGTGGCTGATTTGTTAGAAGTACATACTACTACTTCGTAGGACCTGGTTAGAACCGGGTCCGAGCAACATCTAAATTAAAAAAAGTTTTTTCTAACGGCGGTCGTTCCTCGACGGGCAAAGGCAAACCTTCGAGTGTATTTATGGTATGAAAAAGCTTCTAATAACAAAACGAAAATTTTAATTTTTTACCTTTCGAACTTGCTTTGTTTTCTCAGTAAAAATATATAAAAAATATGGCGTTAAGGGAGTATTAAAATCCGAAATAGTGTACTTGGAAATTTTGACAATGCTAGCTCATTTATGAATTGAGCAAATTTATACAAAACCCTCAGATCAGAAAGATCAAAATCCCCAAAAGCCTACGTTAAGAGCGTTGAAAGAGTATTTCCGCTTTGAACAGCGAAAAGTCATACAAAACAATAAAATTTTAAATGTCAACATCCCAAAATGTCTACGTGATGAGCACTTATAGAGTATGTCCTCCTTGAATACAAAGAGGAAAGGCTCAAACCGAAAATATTCGAGTCTAAGAGATCAATGTGAAGAATGTTGAATAGAGTAGGTATTTCTCCTATTTATTTTCCTCATAGAAAACACTCAAATCAGTAATATTCAAGTCTAAAAAGGTGACGTGAAGAGCATTGATTAGAGATTTCCTTCTTCATTACACAGGTCTGCGAATTTGACTTTATCTTCCCTCCTTTCAAAAATTATAATTTTTTTTTTTATATCTAGGATTGTCACATTAAAATACTGCCTTGTTTTTTTTTTAGCAAATCGAGAGTTCTTTTTATTAATGACATGCATATTTTAGAATTTTTAAAAATTTAAATGAAAAAGCCCAAAATTATTAATTAAATCTAAATTTTTACTTAAAAAACAACAGTATTAATAACAATACCCCTAACCACAAAGTAAATCAGAAATCATCGCAGGCTGGTGTTATCTGTTAAAGTCTGGAATGGTATGGATAAAGGATATCCATGATCTTTTTAAAGTGGAATCAAACTTCAAAAAGAAGAAGAGAAATTAATCTACACAGATATCAAAAACAAAGCATTTGTTTATTTAGCGAAATACGAAATGGTCATACCATTCATGATATTTATTAAGACAAACCCTACTTCGAAAAGACAATACGCAATTTCTCTAAAACCTTAAAGTTTTAGAAGTGTATCCATAAGTTAGCTTGATGAAGATTCTGAATCATGAAAATTTACAGAGGTCNAATTATTAATTAAATCTAAATTTTTACTTAAAAAACAACAGTATTAATAAGAATACCCCTAACCACAAAGTAAATCAGAAATCATCGCAGGCTGGTGTTATCTATTAAAGTCTGGAATGGTATGGATAAAGGATATCCATGATCTTTTTAAAGTGGAATCAAACTTCAAAAAGAAGAAGAGAGAAATTAATCTACACAGATATCAACAAAGCATTTGTTTATTTAGCGAAATACGAAATGGTCATACCATTCATGATATTTATTAAGACAAACCCTACTTCGAAAAGACAATACACAATTTCTTTAAAACCTTAAAGTTTTAGAAGTGTATCCATAAGATAGCTTGATGAAGATTCTGAATCATGAAAATTTACAGAGGTGTAAAAGTTTAAATTTGTAGAGGATTTGCACTTATCACGAAATAGGAGAGAAAACAGTATAAAAGAAGAGGCTTATAAAAATATTTCTATATGTAGAGCGTGAAAAGGGCCTTTTAGTATAGATTCCCTTAATTCATAGTTTTATAAAACCCTTATAAGAGCACAGTCTACGAGTATAGCCTTATGAAACCTGTTGACGTTCCCACTTAAAAAATATACATATAACGGTAAGAATACCTCATATATATATGAAAGAATATACACGGGTGACGCCTCTAGCCATTGTGGGTCTCACCTTTAAATTATCGCAGANGAGGCTTATAAAAATATTTCTATATGTAGAGCGTGAAAAGGGCCTTTTAGAATAGATTCCCTTAAATCATAGTTTTATAAAACCCTTATAAGAGCACAGTCTACGAGTATAGCCTTATGAAACCTGTTGCCGTTCCCACCTAAAAAATATACATATAACGGTAAGAATACCTCATATATATATGAAAGAATATACACGGGCGACGCCTCTAGCCATTGTGGGTCTTACCTTTAAATTATCGCAGATTTTTTTTTCATTGTCGTTGCACGATCTTCTCGATGTTCATCACGAAAAGTTCAATTAAATTAATCGATGCACTGTTGTAGTCTTATTAATTCACGTGAAAAGTTGTAAACAATAATCCAACGATAATCTTCTTTATAAATATGTACATATTCATTTCTTTGCCTGCTTTAAACTTTGAAATAACTGTAAACAACACAAAGGGCGCTCGTTCTGTAAAACTTTCCATTACATACATGCATATATGTAGGTATAGCTAGATAAAAATATTGCCTTATTTTTTAATTAGTTTACAGGTTCGACAATCAGAAAAAATGAATGCCGCGGTACCTGCCTGAGGTAAATCCCATGAAAGATAAGCTAACCTTCAACAAATGACGGATCAGTAATCAATTAGCCAATCCCTACATCAATGTGTTCCACAAATAACTAATTTTTGTTAGACAATAAGGGTTAGTTTTTCAGTACGCGATTAAATCTGGCTGTGATTTGAACTTAGTTTAAATTCACAAGCTAACTGAGCGATTAAACTAAGATTAGCCAATCAAATGTCAGCCAACTGTTAAATACGAACTCTGTTTAGATGGTATATATTTGAAGTGACTAGCTTTAGACATTAAAGAAGTTAAATGCATTTATGGAAATGTTTTGTTTTAACTTTATATATCTTACAGAATGTTTTGGTAGAGCTATGCCGATTTTTATAAGCTTTTATTTAACTTGGTCATCCCTAAACTAACTCCCGACAAGTTAGAGACTTGAAATTTTCAGCATAGTTCCAATCCAAACCAATAAAGCTGCCGGCGATAGTTTAGCAAAGCTATTTGTAGCAAATTTTAGATATCAACCTAGTCTAGATGTCGCCCCGCCAGAAGAAGTTAAATATTGCGCCTAAATATATGCCATTCACATATGCTACAGCGGAAATGGACGACAAGCCATTTCTTTAAATGAAATTAACTGGTGCTATATGTACATACATATGTATCTCAATTCAAAACGTAAGCAAACATTTTGCTTGCATAGTCTTCTGTTCTCTTTCATTGCAAGTTGAATTATTTTAATATCTATTGCAAAATTTTGTACATAAAATAAAATAACACCTTTTAATATACAACGCTTTTATAAATGGACTAAAAATTAGAAAATAAAGTGCGAAATCTCTTGGCAAAAATTACCTTGTCGGCGAATTCAGCGTGCATGCATAATTGGTTAGGTATGTATGCAAATATTTAAATGCCGGTTTGCTATTCGCGCGACAAGCTTTTTTAAAAACGAAGTAAATTAGTACAAATTGTTAGTAATTTTCATTCGAGCTTTAATAACTCCTTTCACTAAATGGCTTTTAGTAACTTTAACGAGACCTTGACTTATTTTATTTTATTCATTTTAGTGCAGTTTTGACAAAATTTTCTTGCTAAAAAATCTTTTGTTACCCTACTTTATTTTATTCCTTTGATTGTACATGTTAAATAAAAGCTTGTTTTTAAAAAATATTTTTTTTACAATATTTTATTTTCTTTTAAGTATACATAACTCTCTTGAAAAGGAAAAAAAAGACTTTTACTGGAGTAAACTTCAAAGATTTTCAACAATTTCTATTCAAACTCAAAGCTAGACACACCACAAGTGGATTTTCTCTTTCCGCGGAGAACACTTCTGTTATTCGGACCGTACGGATGGCGGCGTTATTCTGCTGGAAAGTTGAATTATCTTTAATCCAATTGCACGAAAACTCAATGAACTGAACGCTGAGGGAATGCATATGTATATGTAAATATCGTTACCTTAATGTAGATAGCACGGACCGAGAATGCGTTCAAGTTTTGGCTTACTTCTTCACGAGAACAAAATGTAATGTCAACAAGATTTCCCACAAAAGAGCCGAACCGGTACAAAAGTATTGAGAGCGATTTGAACGGGAATAAAATTCGAAGAAAACTCTCAGGAACGTTCTCAAGCACAACAGAATGAGAACGAAGCTTTCGAGAACGTTTCCAATGAGAACAAAATTAGAACGGAAGTATCGAGTATGTTGGCAAGGAAGATCAAATAAGAGCAAGAGCCGGAAGAACGTTCTGCTAGAGAACAAAACGAGAACAAAAGTTTTTAGAACTTAACGTTAAGAATGAGAGGGGCGTCTGCGTGTCGGGATGAAAAATTGTTTTGGTGAAAACACCGATTGTTAGTTCTAAGCCAGAGGAAAGCTTTCAACTTTCAGATCGTTTATATTTAATCATTAGGGTGAGCTGTCCATTTATGATACAATTTCTCACTTTTATTTGCATACTTATCTGTGAGTTATTTTTTGNGACACTACACCGCGCGGCAAAATATTCTTTGCATGTATTCTTATGGAGCATACCGCACTACGCTGCAGTGGAGCTACGCGACGCGACGCTGCGCGGCAAAGTTGACCAACTAGGCAAAAATGTCGCGCCGCGTGGTGTCGCGCAGTTCCGGTGCCGCATAGTGCGGTAAACCTAGCGGAACGACATAACATTTCGTACTACATTTTTAAGTTGAAGTAATTCGATTTCCAATTGTGAGTGAATATTCACATGCATTTTATTCAAGAAGAAAATTGTATGTAAAGAAACGTAATATTTGAGAAGAATTCGCCAAGGAAAATAAAAATAAAAGGCATTAACATTACATCAGCGTCACTGGCATCCATCTTGTTTGAAAGTTTTGACACAAATAAATTAAAAAATTTGCAGCGAAGTGTCGCGCCGCTGCGGTTTCAGTGCGATATACCAAAAAGTGTCGCGTAGTGCCGCTGCAGTGTCGCGTCGCTTAGTGCGGTCTTACCTTAATTTTAATATTCAAGCATTTCAAACTAATGGTAAGGTATTCTTCGAGAGAAATTTCTTACACTTTTGTTACCATTTTGTTATTTGCTAAAATTTTCCGGAGACTTTCGTTCCCAATTTGTTCTTTTAAAAATGTTCCCGAAAGTACTGTTCGCATTTTGTTCTCTTTGGGAACGTTGCACAGGGTTTTATCCTTCAGGTTTTGTTCACATTCCGGGTTTGGTTTTAAAGCATTCTTGGGGACAGAACTACGAGAATGACATTTAGTTTCGATCATACCTTTAATTCTCGGTCCCTAACAGAAAGGCCTTAACTCACTTTCTTTCGAAAATCAGCGTGGCGCTAAGGTTGGTAGATTATTCAATTACGACTTAATCGAATTTTAAAGCAACTACTACTTAAAAAAATTGTTTTCTTTGTTTATTAGAAATCAAAGCAGTGAAGGAATCGCCACTTAAGCACTTTAGCTTTTATAAAGTTTTATAAATAGTCTGTAAAGAAACAAAAATGTTATATAGGGCCTTTCTATTAGGTAACGATATCGAGGCCTTATATTCAATATTACCTATATAAAGTTTTTACAAAAATGAGATTTCTTTATAAAAATCGACCTTAGACTTAACTGTGATCGATGATGTTAATGTTGACCTTGTATATCGCTTTTCAGCAGAATTAACTATTGACTTTCAAAATCAAAAATTGTAACCAGTGATGACAGTTAAGTCTGAGATAGGTTCTAATATCAGAAAGTAGTTTTTGTATAAACTGCAGATATGTAGTTCTCAGAGGTAAGTAGATTTTAAACTTTTTCCAAGTCTTTACGCTGCCTACAATATACGTAAGTGATCCGCAGCCTTGTCGAATGTCCAATAGTTACGGTGAGCATCTCAACCAACTATATTAAAGTTCCTTCGATCACTGGAAATAGCGTTTTTGAAATCTTTCTGCCTATAAAATTTTAACTTTTTCATAGAGTTCAACAATTTTATTGAGCTTGAGGCCGTTTCTAATGAAAAAAAAAAATGTTGTGGATAAACAAAAATAATTTATTCGTGGTAAAAGTTGCAGCTGCAGTTTTTTTTGATATACGACAGGACAAAGACATAGGATGTGTTTTAGGGGCCCCCTTGTTCCCGTCCTCATGCATTTCCCGCAAACTTCGCTGACAGTGTCTCACTTTTCATTTGAAAGTACCTAAATTGAAAACATTCAGCCCGCCTCCTGAACAATTCTGTTTATTTCTTAAATATGATATGTGAATTAGTCCTGTTAGAAGGCACTTATGAAAAACTTGAGTATGTTTTAATGAAATACCCCTCCGTTTGGTATAAATCAATGAAAAAATATGCTCTATGTAATTCAGGCTATAAACGATATGGGATAAAGTATCTCTTGTACTTAAAAGTTGAAAATGCTACTAGAAGACAGTTCACCAGGCCTACAACAAGTTTTTTTTTATGGATCGAAAACGAACAAAACAAACAGTTTAATTTCAAGATGCCAAGGAGCAAGAGTATCTTACTAGGAGCGTATGAGGTTACATTGTTGCAATGCCTGCACAACAACATACCCCACGCCGCCACTGGGAAAACAAATCACTTCATGTTAAAAAAGCTACCTATAGTCCCACAGATTTCGACCATTCTCCTCTCCGGATTTTGTTTTTAAGCCATAAAGAATAAACACTTTAAATGCTTAATAATTTGAATTTTTTTAAATGCCACTTTATAAATCTTTTTAAAGCTACGTAATTTTTTATGAATTAGTAGGTATACAATTGTATACAATTTATGAAAAATTCCGGTCCTAAATTTTCATATTTTTATACCCGTCCATATCGGACAAAAATGAGAGAGTAGGGGAAAAATGAGAATATAACCAAGTTTTTTGGCAACACATTTAAATTCAGTTTTAAAAAAATGCTATATACATATATATATGTACATAATTAAACTAAAGAATCGAAATAAAAGCTACTGTTATTAATTGCATTAAAATACATTACTTAAGGAAATCATAAACTATTTTGTTAGACAAGACAATTAAAATCGTTAGTTCGCTAAACCAAAACTTATTTACTTATTAAGCCCCCAGATAAAGCTATCCGACCTGTTACATTTTCTTTTAATTTCTATTTTCGTTGTTTTCAACTAAGCACTTACTTGCTGTCAACGATGCCGACGCACTCAAATGGGCCGCAGCTGCGGCGGCCAAATTAGCTGAGGCAGAGCCCTCCACACCAACGCCAACTACCCCAATACCGGGGCCCGTACGTCCATTGCAGCTGCGTATAACATTCGTATTGCCAACCAGGCCGGCAGCACTCGTTACGACCGATGTGGGCGCGTAGCTAATTGCCTCATAATGACCGGGCCATGTGTCGTTCTGCGGCGAGGAAAACACAAATTAACAAAAAAACTTTAATATTTTTCGAATAAACAGTTACGAAAATACATATACCAGGAATAAAATAAAAAATGGTGTGCAACGGCTAGAATTTAGTTGTACATACGTATCTACACACATATGTATGTATGTACTATACTTATACAGTGACGAAAATAAGTATTCGCTTGTTGATTTTTTAATGTTCACAATGTCTTTCAAGTTAAACAAAAAATGTTTTAACTACTTTGATTTAAAAAAAAAATTGTATGCTTCAGCAAAAACCGTAAAAATCTATTTTAAAATTTTTTACAAAATTCAAAAAAAAAAAATTCATCAAACAACGAACTTTTTAATCTCAATTTAAAACTTTTGGGTATGCAGCTTTACGGCCCATAGAATTCATATACAATAAATCATATTAATCAAAGTTTCACCCTTGATACAATATTTAGAAAATTTTAAACATTTTTATAAAATTATCGTAGTTTTAATCTGAATTTTTTTATAAAATTTTTGGGTGTGCCGTTTTGTAGCCCATGAAGTACAAATTTTATTTTTATTTTTGCTGCCATAAATTGCTTATCGAGTTTTTAAAAATCACTTTAGATATGATAAATGAAAAATACCGGCGGAAAAAATATTACATAATAACGCTAATAACACTAAGAAGCTGCTTCAAATAGGCACTTTGTTATACTAAAATGGGGGCTACAAACCTCCATATTTATAAGTTTTCTAAAAATTCAGATTTAAAACTACGAAATTTTGATGAAAATTTTAAAAATTTTTATAAACTTTGAAACTTTGTTTTTTATAAGATTTTGGTTAAGAAACAAATTTTACTTGAAACACACAAAGTTATGAATATTAAAAAAAATATATTGAACACTTGTTTGAGTCACTGTGTATACGAATATAAAGTAAAAAATATTTACAAAGTTAAAAGCTCGTCACAACACATGTACGCGTATGTATACTCACTGTGCGATAATTTGCCAACGATGTGTAACGATCGGCGCCACTGCCAACCGTTGTTACGCCGCCGCCGTTCAAATTCGCCACACCAGCTGTGCCGCCCGCACCACCACCATAACTGGTAATACGTTGAAATGCTGGCAACGGCCCACTATTACCATCGCCAGCCGCACCACCATTGCTACTGGTGTTGCTCTTCGGTGAGCCATAGTCATCGTTACAGATGGAATTTGAACCGGAACCGGTGGCAAGCGATGCATTGGCCGCTGCTACGACTGAATTTGTTGAGTGTGCGCCAGGCGTGGAGGCCGCCGAATGCGCTGCTGGGTGATGGGACGGTGAAACGGATGAGACGGCGGTGAGTGCTGCTGTACTGCTGGGTTGCATGCCATTGGTGACCGGTGTCAGCAGCGAACCGGGATAGACTGAACTGCAATGCGTCAATATGCCGGAGATATAGAATGATAATCGGGCGGTGCAGATGCGGACATATTTATCAAGATGATCGTCAATGTATGTACATATTTAGATGAACGACAAAGGTTGGGTTGATAGAAGAAAACATTGCAAAGAAAGAAACAAAGAAATCACTTCATTATTAATGGTTTCAAATGCAAATCTATAAAGTCGTACATACATATTTATGTGTGTTAGTCTGTATGTATATAGGTAAGTATTCAAATATTTAATTGCTTGTGGTTCTGAAATACTTATACATATGCATGTACACGTGTTTTCTTTATTAGTTGACTAAGTCTTTATAAAATTTATATTTAATTCTTTATCTCTGCAAAGAAAGTCATAAATTAAAGGTCAGCTAATAAATAAAATCAAAGTTGAGAATCAAACGTTCGTAGGTCTTAAACACGCATACATATATGCACATATTTTCGAGCCTAAAAATATGTACATGGGCATATTGCGAATTCAATGTTAACCATATATTTTCTAGAATAGGAAAAAATCAATAATTTAATTAAGTTCCTTATCGCCTCAAACCAGTGACTTTCGAAAAATAGAATATTTGTTGTACATAGTATGTACATACGNATGTTAACCATATATTTTCTAGAATAGGAAAAAATCAATAATTTAATTAAGTTCTTTATCGCCTCAAACCAGTGACTTTCGAAAAATATAATATTTGTTGTACATAGTATGTACATACGTACTATGTATGTGTATATGTATATATAGTACAATATATCGCTTTAAGTAGTAACATAACTTAACGAATATTTACCTATACCAGGAGCTCTTGAAATACATATTATTGTAGTTTGGAAAAAACATTTTAATTTTTTCCCGTATCGTTTCGCTTAGTTTTTCAAAACAAAAAAAATAATAATAATCACTTCGACAATTTTCAAAGCATAATCTCTCAAATATTGTTAAAATTGTTACCTTTTTATAAAAATTAACAAAAGAAAATGTTAGAAAAAATTATTTTTGTTTTTATGGTCAATACGTAAATAATAAACAGCCTGAAATTCAATTAATTTTTTTAAGTTAATTTATTTTTAATTTTTCATCTAATTTAGTTTTAATTAATTATATTATTTTTATTTTTTCTTATTTTTTTTTACTGCTNTTTAATTTTTCATCTAATTTAGTTTTAATTAATTATATTATTTTTATTTTACTGCCTTTTTTCTATTTTGTTTTATATTATTTTATTTTATTTTATTTTATTTTATTTTATTTTATTTTATTTTATTTTATTTTATTTTATTTTATTTTATTTTATTTTATTTTATTTAACAATTTTTATTTTTTTTGTTTTATTTCATTCAGTTTATTAAAACGAAGACACCTCCTGGAGAGACAAGCGAACAATGAAAAACAGTTTACACAAAAGAATGCGACACTGGGCGCACGCAAAAAATCAGAGATTCCCATAGAAAAATGCGATGCGATAGGCAATCGCCACATCGCTTTTCGCTCAATTTTCTCCATTGGCCTGAGATATTATGACTGATTGTATGAGAAAGAAAACATAACAAATTTGTTTCGTAATTTGCAAATCTATTCCCAAAGGTATTTGCACAAACATCAATACTCTTCCTGACCTACTCCAGTCAACATCGTTATACTACATAAGTACATCCATACATATGTACGTGCAAATGAACAATAAGTGAATACCCGGACGGAAAAAAGTAAATTTCTAAAACAACATACATATGTACATTAGGGTGCATCAGTCTCCATACAAAAAAATAAAAATAATAAATTGCTACTCTTTTTCCATCCGAGTTATAAAATTTATTTTATTTTAAGGCTCGCGCCAAACTATTTGGGAAAAATTTTAAGATTTACGTCTGCTTGATCTATTTGAAATTATGTACCTCCAAAAACCGAGTTTTGTTATAAATAAAATAAGTTTTAAAAAATATTTTTACTTAAAAATCACCTTATGATAGAAGAGTTCACGCCTAAATTGTCTCGATAAAGATTTGTTTAAATTGTATCAACAGAATCAAAATAGTCAAATTTTGGACACATTTTCGGAAATATTTTGGAGGAAGTCTTAAAATATGTTAATTTTATAATTTCAGTGGAAAAGACGCAACTTGTTTTTTTTTTGGTGATCTACTCTAATGTAGGCCAACTAGCTTTAAATTATTTTAAAAAGGCACAGTGCGGGACAATTTTGATTCGATATTCTCTTTTGTCGGTTTTTAGTCGTTAACTTCGTTACAAGCTAATCGAAAATAAATGCGATTATTTGCTCTTGTAAGAATCTTTTCTAAACTACGAACTTTTAAATTAATTTAATTTCCTGCAGGGTATGTATTTGTGAATTTCGCCAAAATGCAGCTCACTAAAAATGTTTATAACAACCAAGATTTCCTTCATTCAATGCACTTTCGCAAATCCAGCAACTGCAATATGAAACTGAATTGGGTATGCGACCACCCAAGAACAAACATAGTAAGACATTGATGAATAAAAACAACAGCAATGCATGAGTTGCCACGAGGCACCATTGAACGAAGTTGGACGCTCTTCTCATCATGCTGTATATAAGAAGTGTTGCAAATATTCGAGCTTCTACACCACTAAAGAGAACAGACCGTAAAGGTCTCTAGATGCGCAATGCAACGCAACTTAATTAAAGCATGTCAACGCGCCTAAAACCAATGGCAACTTCAGTACGAGTCCGACTCTGAGCGGTAACTTCACAATTTTGTAAACAAAACAAATGAGTGCGAATATGATTGAAAAAACGCAAATTTTGCTAAATTTTTTATTGATGACGACAACAACATTTGCAACACAATTTATACAATTCTTTTTTTATATGTACATATGAGTAATACAATGCCGGGATTATGAACAACTCTTTTGTCTGGAGGAAGATCTACAAAACCTATGATATTCATATATATGTACAAATAAAACACACAGCACAACCATTCAAGATTCATCAGCAGCCAAGTTAGCAAGTAGCTCAATGAATATTTTTTGTTTTATTGATGTATGTACACTAGGGTGCATCACCAAACGAACTTGCGATTTATCCACCGGAACAAACATTTTTTTTTTATGTTTTAAGAATTCCGCCAAAAATATTTCGAAAAAGTATTGAGACTTATTTGAGCTAGACGGATTTGAAAATACATACCTCCAAAAATATCTTTATTTTGATTCCGTTGATAAAATTTTTAAATATTTTTATGCAGACCTTTTAAGCTTAATCGCTATCTGAGGAGACTTTTTAGAAAAAATACTTTTAAACACTAATTGTATTGTTAAAAAAAATTGATTCTTGGAGGTATTTCCAAATGAGTCCAGCTCAAGTAAATCTTAATATTTTGTCGAAATATTTTGAAGGAAAGCTTAAAATATAATAGATTTTAAATTTCCGATGGAAAAAAGTACCTAATGTACTATGTATGTTGATGTGGCATGTGTACTCGCATTGAGTTAAGTGTAAAACACTGGTAGTCAAATTCAATATTTTCCTATAGGTATGTAAAATTAATAAAAAAAAATAAATAAAGAAACAACAAACGAGCAAAGCGGTAGTAAATAAACAGAGGCTGAAGCTATTCGTTCATGATTCTTAGAACTTGCTGATCACATTTTTAAGAGAATAGCCGCAAGAAGTGTGCGTGGTTTCAATGGCGCGATGGCGCTTTGTACAAACATTCAATGTTACTCTGTTATTTAACTCGAAAGTATTACTTGACATATTAAGAAGTTTTTTAGCTTCGTTTTCTTAGTAGCTGAACAAAGAACCCGTACAGTATTTTCAGGGGGTAGATAAATAATACATAGAACTTCCGTAAGCATGCCTTACTCTATGCATGCTCAAGTCAGAAGCAAAATTATATACAAATTATTATATAAAGTCATTTGTACACTCGGCAGGACTACGAACTTGGCAGGCTTCATGTCGGGTAAACAATCATCGTGGCACTAGAAAGCATCATAAACAACATAAGGACAGCAAAACGGCTCTCTTTTATACATGCTAGAAGCTCACAATGTCAAACCCTGCTAGGTTAGGTTAGGTTAATGTGGCAGTCGGTTCAAATTGCCAACTCACTAAGACCTTTTTGAAGGTCCATTGTGGTACCACTGCAGAACACGGGATCCTCGGTGACTAATCTTCAGAGAACTATTTCGAAGCTGTTATAAAGCGTAGTTTTGGCTTTATTCCTACGCATGATAGTTCCGTAAGAGAGCTAAAAAAAAGGGCCTACCTAAAAAGCCTGTTCTCCTCCTGGCCAGAGCTGGGCAGTTACAGAAGAAGTGCTCTACAGTTTCTTCCTCTTCCTTATCCCTGCAACTTCTACAATATTCGTGGGAGAATATTTCTAGTCTCGAAGAGTGTATGCCAAATAGCCAATGACCGGTAACACAAGCCATGATCCTTGCGATATCCTCCCTTCAGAGGCTGAGCAGCTCTTTCGTCTTTTTCTTATCTATTTGTGGCCATAGTAGCCTGGTTGTTCTACAAGTGCCCTGCCTAGCCATGACCTGTTGGCCTCTTGCATCATGCTATTTCGAAGTTCTAATTTGGAGGTTGCCTCTGTGCCTCTGTTTTCACATAGGGGGAGATTGGTACCTTTAATGGCTAGCTCATCGGCTCAGCAATTTCCTTCAATATCTCTGTGTCCCGGAACCCATATGAGGCTGACCTTAAACACAGCGCTAATATCGTTTAGAGATGCGAGACATTCCTGCGCAACCTTCGACCTCAGCATTACCATGTTCATTGATTTAATGGCCGCCTGGCTGTCCGAGAAAATATTAATCGTAGTCTTCGTTACGGCATGTGTACTAAGGTACACAGCCACCTCTTTTATGGCTAAAACTTCTGCCTGATAGACACTGCAGTGGTCCGGAATTCGGACGGATAGTTCTAGTCCTAGTTCCTTGCAGAAAACTCAATAGCCAACCCTATTGTCTAGCTTGGAT